AATATTTACTTAGCAGCAAGCAGGGCAATGACCGCACACTAATAAAATGGCAGGAGCTGTGAGCAGGACTGAACTGACCATGGCTGCTTCTCTTCAAGCTGTTCCTGTCCAACATAACCTTTGAATCCAGTTATCAGCACTTCCAGTTTTTATTTTCAACTTGACATAACTGGATTCCTTCAAACCAGTAATATTTCTCTGTTAACTGTTCAGAAACATTCTTTTAAATGAATTCTTATAGGTGTAAATAATAGTAATTTATTCTTTTTCTTGATTTCTTGACTTATTTTTCTTAGAAAACATTTATTTCTCAAAAAAATACCAGGAAGGAATTTTCACTTGAAAACACTACTTGGTCACTTACCAAGTACTAAGATCTGCATGTTCCCTTGCTTTGTGAATGGGGTAATAAGAAAAACACACTGGTCTCTTGCTCTCTAGCTGAGCAATTTGCCTATCGAGACAATAGGACCTGTACATTCTATTTCCATCAATATAAGAGGGATTAACATGTAACATAACATCAAACAATTTTTCTTTCCAGAGCTGCTGCCAAGAAACAGGCCACAAAGCTATCTGCTGTGCCTTCCTTCTTATAATATCTACCCGGTTGCATTAAATATTGGTTAAAACAAACTAGTGAATGCACCCATATTTCACCAACTTTAAGACGTTTAAATACTGGTGCTTTCTTGATCTCACCAGAAGAAATCAACAGAAGGTTTTCATACAACTGGCTGCCACTGATGACAATTACAAGATACAATTAAATGCGAGGTGCTTCAGAGATGTTAATGTAAAAAAAAAAAAAACAAAAAAAATTCTGCATCATAAAATAAGTATTTCTATATCAATCACCTGTCACATTCTGGAACACTCACTAGATGCTCAGTTTTGTCTAAAGCTAATTTTTCAATTATAACTCCCTTAATTCAAGGGTACTCAAATTTCAGGTGCTTGGAAAATAGATTAACCACTAATTACCTCCAAGATACTTTGTATACTATCCACTAGCTATTCAACTGCCTTCCTCCTTCTGAAAGAACCTTAATATTGTTCAGGTGTCTTTCCTCTTCTGCATGGCAATGTGGAACCAGTGGGGTGAGGAGGAACAAATAACCAGTTTTGCTCACCAGTCACTTATTTAGGAGTATGACAGGATGCTCCCTGGAAGCGAGAATGGCCAGACTTCGTCTCACCTACTTCGGTCATGTTGTCAGAAGGGACCATTCTCTGGAGAACGATATCATGCTTGGCAAAGCAGAGGGTTAATGAAAAATGGGAAGGCCCTCAACAAGATGGACTGACACAGTGGCTGCAGCAATGGGCTCAGGTAGAGCAAGGATCATGAGGCTGGCACAGGACCGGGCAGTGTTTTGTTCTGCTGTGCACAGGGTCGCTGTGAGTCGGAGCTGACTCAATGGCGCCTAATAACAACAACAGCATGATACAATCTGACCAATGAGATATAAGAAGTTGTTTAGAAGTTGTTGGAATGCTTCTGGGAAAAGGTTTCTTTACTGATAAATACGGGATTGAAACAATCCTCTCTCATGCTTAGAGTACTGTTATAACTCCTTACGAAGTTTGGAACTGCACAACCACCTTGCCACCCTGAAGAAAGTGAAGAATTGCATAGCAAGAATATAAAAAAACTTCAGTTCCTGATGACACTGACTGGCTAAATTTTACAACCCTGGAAATGGCCATCCACAGTTAAGTGAGAGTCTATGTTAACTGAAAGATTTCTTGTTTTCCAAGAGAGTAAATGTTGCATACTGTTTAACCCAGTTGAGTTTTTGCAACTCCTATTAGAAGCTCCTTCATCAATACCCCAAATAGGTTCAAAAATGGTAGGTAATCAGACTTGCATTCCTGACACAGGCTACCAGCAAGGAAGTCTGTAACAGACATGTCACAGCTTTCTGTGTTTTGAACACCCCCAACTTAATGGAAAGGAATCTGCTTCTTCAGCAGGAACTGGATCAGAGCACAATTTCCAGTTTTAGGCAGAACAAGAAAGGAACTGGCCAACCAACAGAAGTTATCGACTGAGAAAAAGACAAGGTCAAGCTTCTTAGCATCAGGCCAGTAAATGCAAAGTTGTTCCATGTGGTCTCAGAAAGGGCTTTTCCTTTCACCGTCGTGTGTGTCTAAGACAAAAGTTCCACTTTACTGATGTTCCAGGACAATGAAGAGACCACTTCAGTGCCCCCAATTCCCAGCTAGTGACAGCAGAAGTGGTCCCCAATTCCCAGCTAATGATAGCATAAAGAAGCTTCATTTTGTATCTTCAGACAACCGCCCCTCAAAAGAGAGAAATCCACGATGATCGGACACAGAAGAATTTCTCTATGCATTCTACTAAATGGATTTGTTTTACCTAAACCTGAATACAAAACAAACCTACTCTACTTTCTACCAAGGTGTATAGGTGTGAAAAATACAAGTTTCCTGAGAAATGACTCCTGCTGATGACAGAATAATCACCACAGCAGTTAAGCAAAGCTTCATTCTCTCAAAAACAAAGCAGAAAGAAAATGGAGAACAGAAATTTCAAATTCCCATCAAATCCAGACTTTCTGGAGCCATAGAGGCTATATGAACCGCTGAAACTAATTGCCCTGAGATAATTTTTAAATCTTAAACCAAAAATACTCCCTGAAGTCTCCTTAAAACTTAACAAAGTTTAGCTTCACTAGTGAGGAATGTGTACCTTGAGCACTGTGCTCTTTTAAGAACTAACCACGTGTGATCAAACTGACAACAGTAACTTGAAAGACTAGAGAGGAAACTTAGGGGGCAGTGAGGTTATGTAAACTCAGAACAACTCAGAAAAAGAAGGTAGAATGGTTGGCACAACTTGAAGAATGTAGACACTGTCACTGAATTACACATGGAGAAATCACTGCATTGGTGTACATCCTGCTACATACAGTTTCAAAAACAAAAATACTCAAAAAAAAAAAAAAAAAAACCAAAAAACGAACCACCGTACTTCCTTTTTTCAGCCTTATCTGTTAGTCTCTTCATTGCCCTTCCTGAGACTCTGTTTAGACACCGACAAATGTCAAGGATGTACTTCTGTGGCCCTGTTGATTTGCATTTTTATAGCAACTTTTCGTATTAAATTCTAGGTGCTTTATATCACAGCACACCTTATATTAAAGATTAAAATATGTACCTAGTTTTTAGCAACCAGTAAAAGCACAACCAATAAAAGACAAAATAGGTAAACTGGGCTTCATCAAGATTAAAAACTTCTGCATATCAAAGGACTTTATCAACAAAGTGAAAAGATAAACTACAGCTGGAAGAAAATTTGGGGAAACAATGTATCTGATAAGAGTACCTCTACAAAGGTAGAGAAACCATGACCTAGATCATAGGCTCAGGAATTTTATTAACAGTATTAAATGCAATATCAGGCAAATTGTTGTTGTTGTTGTTGTTATGTGCCATCGAGTCAGACCCGACTCACAGCGACCCCTCCTTGGGTTTCCAAGGCAGTATCACTACGGAAATAGATTGCCTCATCTTCCTTCCACCTCATCTTCCTTCCGAGGAGTGGCTGGTGGGTTTGAACTGCCAGCTTTCTGGTTAGCAGTCAAGTATCTTAGGCACTATGCTACCAGAGGCAAATTAGAAGCATTTAAAAAAATTCTGCCTTCAAAAAAAAAGAGCCCATAATTCCAGCATAGGCTACAAAAACTTAACGTAATGTATAACCAATGTGTATGCACATATCCAAATCCAAACCAAACCCACTGCCCACTGAGTTGATTCTACCTCATAGAGACCCTTTAAGACAGAACAGAACTGCCACCAGAGGGTTTCCAAGGCTGTAAATCTTCATGGAAGCAGACTCCCTCATCTTCCTACCACAGAGAGACCGGTGGGTAGGAAGAGCTGACCTTTTCATTAGCAGCCAAGTACATTAACCACTGTACCACCAGCGTCGCCAATATAAACACACAGAAAGTAGGTAATACCCACAGGTTCTTTCATAAAGACCATGAACCATAATGTTTCCTTTCTAATGTTTTAACAATCCGTACTACACTTTAAAAATCCTTTTCACTTAACATCTTCTACTAAAATAATGCTGCCTACTACAGGAGCACCAACTAGGAAAGAAGAACAAGAAAACCTCACAATGATAGCACCCACTAACACCCTCACACAGGGCAGCCAGAGGGAGATGGTGGCACCTGTGTATTTGCTTTGAGCTACGATTTCATCCATCATTGACATTCAAATGAAAAAATAATAGTAAGAAAATAGACAGTTTTTTGCTAACATAGGAAGGACACAAAAAGTGTAATAAACATGCCATTGTTTTATGCACGTTTTGTTACTCAAAAGTACAAAATGTTTTCTGTGCTTTACATAAAGAATAATGAATTTAGAAGAAAGAGCACGCATGAAAAATACTGGAAAGCGTAACTGAGGGTGAACTGGTAGAGAACTGAGGTCAGTTACCATAAGGGATTTTTAAAACAGTTGACACACACATGGAATCTATTAGACAAGGAAAACAATCCACAGACATTAATCAAGGCTGACTTTAAAAACAAAGTAGTTAAGATGTCACATTCTAATTAGTTGTTCTGAGGTCCACCTTCCCCATAGAACTAGGAGCATTATCTAATTCATCTCTGCGTATCTAAGAGAATATCCCAATGCCTGGCATTATGCAGGTAGCTTAACACATGTCCTGGATGAGCAGATGAATTATCTGCAGAGTTTCTGCCCTATAAACACTTCTTCTAGTGAGACACGTCCTTTTATGTAGCATATCACCTATTTTGCCTTCCTCAATCTTAATCAAATTTATTGGCACAATAAATGCTATGTCCAGCTCAAGTATGTCTGATAGCAAATAATGTCTCAAAATAAATTTTTATTAATCCATCCATTCCAATCCCACCACCCTCTCCAAAAAAAAGGTAAGTATCCCCAACCACCCCACGACCACCATGTAAATCATTATTCCTTACCTTCCTCAGGGGCAGCTGAAGCTCCTTCAGGTAGTATAGGCTGTAACTCCCCAGTTTCAGAATTATTTTCCAAATCACTCATTTGTATTCCTTCCAGATGTCCTCCTTTAGCATTAGTCCTGAAAGAGGGAGAAAACAACTTGATATTTTTGTATAACTGTTGTTGTTGTTGTTATGTGCCGTCGAGTCGGCCCTGACTCATAGCGACCCCTCCTTGGGTTTCTGAGGCAGTATCACTACGGAAGTAGGATTGCCCAACCTTCCTTCCGAGGAGTGGCTGGTGGGTTTGAACCGCCAGCCTTCTGGTTAGCAGTCAAGTGCCTTAGCCACTATGCTACCAGAGCTCCCTTTGCATAACTAGTCGGTTATATAAGGAGCTCTGGTGACATAGTCCCTAAGGCATCTATCTGACTGCTAACCAGACAGATCGAGTTCAAACCTACCAGCTACTCTGCGGAAGGAAGACGGGCCAATCTACTTCTGTGAAGATTTACTGCCTCAGAAACCCAAAGAGAGTCACTATGAGTCAGAATCGACTAAATGAAGTGAGTTCGGTCTTTTTTTGGAGTCAATTATACAATAATTTATATTTTCTTCTTGTCCCAAAACTGAGCACCAAATTAAGCACAACATATTGGTGTTTAATATTCAAATTTTAGTTTTTAAAAATTCACTAGGAAACTCACAGTGAAAAATTATTAACTGGTAGACTGTATTGATGTCAATATTCTGGCTGTGAGTTTATGACGAAGGGTAGATACAGCTTCCTCCACAACGTACAAAATATGAAACTAGGTGCAGGTTCAACTTGAAAGGAACATGTCTAATTAGGCCAGGAAATGGGAAGAACAAGACAATCTCCAGTGATTATACCATATTTTCACTGGTTAAACTTGAACTAAAACACAAAAGTAAACCACCACCTGTCCGTTTAGATTTGATAATTATCCAGTCCTTTAAACTGTGTAAGGAGCCCTGATGGTGCAGTAGTTAAACACCTGGCTGCTAACTGAAACATGTGGCGGTCTGTTTCGGTAGATTTCAGCCTTGGAAATGGGGCAGTTCTACTCTGTCCTACAGGGTTGCTGTGATTCAGAGTCAACTCAGTGCCAATGAGCTCGTTTTTTTTGGTTAAACTGTATAAAATTAAATGAACCTAAGAGATGTTAAACTTTCTCTAAATTTCATTCAAGGTTCTTTTCAAATGTAGAATGATTCCACTGTTTAAATTTAGAAATGTATTTCAATCAGCAGATGGATTTGATGTTTCACCGAGCACATTCACAGAATATACATCCTACAATCAATCTTTTAAAAGGATGGAAGTTTAATTGACATGGCTGGGATCTGAATTTACAATCTGAATTTACGTTTCCTGAGAGAGAAATAAAGGTGTTAACTATCATATACATCCTTTTAAGAAATTCCAACTATGTGCTTGCGGACACCTTCAAAAGAGGAGGGAGAAAAGGTGAGGTTAAAGTAGAAGAGCTTTGTTATACCGAAAATAAACGTAAAAGACTTGTGAGATGTAATGGAGCCCAGCACCAATGTCTTTAAAAATATGGAATAAATTAAGGGAGAAAAGTTCCCCCACCCCAAAAGTATCTCAGGAGGCAGAGTTTATGCAAGGCTACACACCACTAGTACCCTAACTTCAGTGAAAATGAACCCTCACATATATAAACTGAACATTTGGTACTCACTCATTCTGGTTTTTTTTTTTTTTTTAAAAAAGGTCTCTGATACTGTCAAAGTTACATTTTAATGAAACAAACATCCGAGGGGAAAATTTATTTTGTTCATTTTGATGTAGAAAAAAAGGGCCAAATAAAGTTATTACCCCAAGATGACCATTTTTCTCCTTTTCTCAACAGTAGGTAAGCCATTGAAAACTGCAACCACAACAGCATCTGTATCCAAAGCTTTACATTGCCGGTCTTCAGTTTGGGGCACCAAATCACTGATTCCGGCCTGTGTCAAGGCGTGGGGACCACTGTGCCTGTTCCCGGATTGTGAGCTTCCTGGGGAGCCTTCAGAAAGAAAAGAGGGATATTCAGAAAGAAGGTAACTAAACACAAAAGTTCTCTCTCAAGTTTGGACTTTAGAAAAAAACAGCTCTTATATATATATATGCATTTTTGAACTGCAGAAAATCCTCAAAAACAATTTTAATATATGCCCAGACTTTAAGATACAGAAGAGTTAAAATTAAGGGTCCAGGATATGTAGTCTAATGACTGGATTTCTTTACTGAAGGATCTGCTGTTGTGGATCAAGGAAGTTTCACACTGAATTCAGCATTTTTGTTACCTGTTAAGATCTAAACCTACAAGATAATATCAATTTCCAAAAAGATATACACCCACCATAATTACATCATAAACATCCCAAATTTACCTTCAAACAAGGTTTGACAGTCTCCCTTTGAATGACTATGTTCTCCAGAGTCCACTGCTCTTCGAAGCGACAGGCTACCTGCTATACTGGATCGGGCTGGCTTGGGTGAACTGCTCTTTTTATTTGTGGCTGCAAAGACATTTCAAAGTACTTCTGAATATAATAAAATAGCATGAAACTCACCACCTACACAGTCAGAGGGCTATCTTTACCATGCATGGAAAGTACTCTACCTACTGTGTCTGAAAAAAAAAAGGACACTTTGTGGTCCCTTGTTGTATTTGTGCTCTAAACCAAAAACCACTTCTATTTTGCTGTTTGTGGAGAAGGGTCTTAATATAAAAAATTATAAGATTCGATAAGAAAGATCATACCAGGATATTCACCAACCTAAATGCAATTAAGCTAAGTATTAAGAAAAATACAACCCAAAAAACACTGGGAAATTATAAAATATTATAGGATTAAAAACAAAATCAATGGTGAATTAGAAACAAAAATTACAATACTTCAATCAAAAGGTTTTTGGCCAAAGCAGTACTTAGACAGAATGAAAGCCTGTCTACCGCTGCCAACCACTCTGGAAGGAATCACAAGTGGTCCTAGACAAATCACGAGAAAAATGTGGAACAAAACTCAAAACAGTAAAAAAAAAAAAAAGACCAGGCTTACCGGTCTGATAAGACTAGTAGAACTCCCAAGACTACAGCCCTTAGATACCCTCTTCAAGCCTGGAACCAAGCTTGCCCCCATGGCTCAATTTCAGCCAAACTAAAGACACACCTAGAAGGTGAACAGTAACACCAGGGAGGTATGGACTCATTAGAACAATTAACTCTACAAGATCAAAAGGGCAGCATTTGCCGAGGGATAAAGCTCAGAGTCAGGAAAGAAGGAAATGGTAAACACAGGGAGGAAGTGGGAAGTGTTGTTACATTGTATGAACTGTGGAATGAAAACCAACTTGTTTAGAACTAAATAAATTCAATACTGTTACAGGTTACAATATCAACACTGAGTAATCAAAGGTGTTTTTATACACCAATAGTGAACAATTCTAGAATGAAATTAAGACAATCTCATTTATAATAGCATCAAACAGGATAAAATATTTAGGAATAAGTATTATTAAAGAAATGCAAGATTTTACACTGAAAATTACAAAACATCAGTGAAAGAAAATAACACCTAAATAAATGGGAAGACACACTGTGTCCACTTGACTGGATTACTGAATACTGTTACAAAGGTAAACCAAAAAACAAATCCATTGCCACAGAGTCAACTGTGACTCACAGCAACCCAATAAGATAGAGCAGAAATGTCCCATAAGGTTTCCACAGAAGCAGACTACCACATCTTTCTCCCATGGCTAGTGGGTTCAAACTGTCAACCTTTGGCCAAAAATGGATCTACAAACTCAACAAAATTCCATCTGTCTTATAGAAGTTGGTAAGCTGAAACACATGTGAAAATGCTAGAGAATCAGAAGAGCAAAAACAATCTTGAAAAAGAAAAAGTTAGAGGACTCACATATCTGATTTCAAAACTTACTACAAAGCTACAGTAATTAAGCCTGTGTGGTACTGGCATAAGGATACAGGCATACTTCACCCCAGCAATAATAGAAACGTTGAAGAAGACTGAAAACAACAAATGCTGGTGAGGGTATGGAGAGACTGGAACTCTCATACACTGCCGGTGGGACTGTAAAGTAGTACAACCACTGTGGAAAATGGTATGGCGATTCCTTAACAACTTGGATATAGAAATACCATTTGATCCAGCAATAGAACTACCAGGAAAATATCCTAAAGAGGTGAGATCCAGAACATGAATAAATATATGCACACCCATATTCACTGCAGCACTATTTACAATAGCAAAGAGATGTAAAAGACCTAAATGTCTAGCAATATATGAATGAATAACCAAACTATGGTACATACGTACAATGGAATACTATACCACATTAAAGAATAATGAAGAAATCTGCAAATCACCTCATAACATGGATGAACTTGGAGGGAATTGCTGAGTGAAATAAGTCAATCACAGAAATACAAATATAGTATGAGTCTGTTATTATAAAAAGTCAAGTAAAGGTTTACAAAGGGAAGAAAAGTATCTTTGTTGGTTACCAGAGATGGGAGGAGAGAAGAGGGAAAACTGCTTGCTAGTTAAGAGACAGGTGTTGATTTGGATGAAGAGAAAGGCAATATAATAAAAGTATATGAACAGCACAGTATCACTAAGAAAAAGGAAGACATGGAGCGGTGCAGAAGAAGTATAGACAATAAAGATAAATACTATTACATACAAAATATTGCATTATTGGTAAGAGCAAACACTAATCTATGGGTAGATATGTAGAGAGGCAAGAAGATTAAGTACGGGTTGGAGAATGGGATTGTACATAGGTTTCGTAGACAATAATTGTACACGAGTATTTGTATGTGCTATAAAAATGTCCATATGCAGTATTGCGCTAACAGGGCAAAGTTAGGGTAACTTCTTAGTCACAACATCTTGAGGTAGTGAGTCTCTGGTCCTGCAGGCTCAGGACCATGGTCATAGGGGATATCAAGCTCAATGGACATAAAATACTACACAAAAACATTGTTCTACATCCTACTTTGGTGAGTAGTTACTAGGGTCTTAATAGCTTGAGAGTGGCTATGTAAGATGCAACTATTAGTCCCTTCTCATCTGGAGCAAAGGGTGAAGAAAATAAAAAACACATGGAAACAATTACTCCAAAGGAGTAATGGACCAGGAGAACCTGAGCCTATACCAGAACTAGATGGCACCTTGCTACCACTGCCAACCACCCAGAAAGGGGTCAAAATCAGAAATCTTGGATAGAATGAGAGAAAAATGTGGAACAAAACTTAAGAAAAAGAAACAAACATAAAAAAGACAATGATTACTAATCAGATAGAGACCCCTCAAGACTATGACCCCCTCATCACCCTTCAGGCCTGGAAGTGGACTCAAACCCAGGGCTAACTTTCAGCCAAACAACAGACAGGCCTTGTGTTGAACAACCACACCAGGGAGATGTGCTTCTTAAAACAATCAACCATGGAAGATCAGAAGGGTAGCATATGGAAAGGGAAAAAGCTAGGGAGGCAGGAATGCACAAGTGGGAACGACAGAGGGAAAGGGTGACCACAGAGAAGTGGTAGGAAAGCAGTTACATTGTGGAAATTATAACCAGGATCACAAAACAAAATGTGTATGAACTGTTGAATATAAAACAAATCTGCTTTGTAAAACTTCACCCAAATCATAATAAATAGCTTTTTTTTAAAAAAAAAAAAAAAGGACAGACATACTAATCAATGGAATAGAACTGACAGCCCAGAAATGAACCTATATATCTATGGTCAATTAATTTTCAACAAAAGTACCAAGCCCATTCAATGAGGAAAGAGTAGTCTTTTCAACAAATGGTGTCAGGACACCTAGATAGCCACATTTTTCAAAGAATACAGTTGGACCCTATCTGACACCATGTACAAATATTAACTTAAAATGGATCAAAGGACCAATATGGCAGCATTGAGGATGAGAAAGACATAGAGAGGTACATGGGAAGTACAGACAACAAATATGAACCCTTCTGCATATACAGGACTGAGTTGTCAGTGAAAGCAAACATGGGTATATGGACAGATAGATAGGAGGACAGGCTAAACAATTAGGTATGCCTAAATGGGGAGTGTATCCAAGATCATATATAGGGTTGGCAGACAATGGTCCTATAAGTTTATGTGAATGATCAGAATTCCCAGGTGTA